GGTGAGTTGGGTCAAGGAAATTTATACTTTACATAGGTTCTCAACTTGTAATGGTTCTTTATGATTAAATAAATAAATGACACCAACCTGATTGTGGGATTAAAAAAAAAAAAATAAAATAAAATAAAATAATGAAAAAAAATAATAATAATTTAAATTCAATATTTAAATATAATATAGAAAGATCTTCTTAAATATTTTTTCTTTAAATATATAATCAAGCTTAATTTAAAGTATATAAAATGCTTAATAAATTATTTTTGTAAATATATATTTTTTATAAATATATATTTTTTAAAAATTTTTCTATTTTCCCAAGAGATATATATTTGAAAAAGTTTATTATATATGGAAAATTAATAAACTTAATATAAAAGATAGATTTGTTCGTTAAGCCAAGTAAGTTTAGTGAGGTTCTACAAAATTAAATCGGAATCCAAGTAAGGATACTAGTTCTACAAGTGATAAAAATGGTAGTGCGAGGCTATGCTAGTAGCACATCCCGAGAATTGGCAATAACAGTGACTGGAATACTGGAGTTAGTCTCTATAATAATATTTCATATGACTTTCCCTTAGCGGGCTGCCGAAAAATATGATTGGACCAATAGAATGGTAGGTTTAAACTAGTGGTAGGACTTCCTCCATCCTGTGTAAGTCCCACCTGGTGCGAGCCTATCTACTTGATGCAAGCTGGTCAACCAGAGTAGTTGGGTTGGACTTTGGGAAACTAGTACTACTGGAAATGATAAATACTAGGTAACATTAATTTATATTCTAGAATAGCAATAGTTTAGTCTGTAAAGATGTTTGATGTAATGATAGTACTATCAATTAGTAAATAAAGTCTCGCATCTAATGCCCTTAGCCAACTTAAAAAAAAAAAAAAAAAAAAGATAGATTTGTATATTATATTTTCTATAAATATTAATTAAAAAATATATATTTAATAATTTAAAAATATTATTTATTGTATTATTAATTTATAAGTTTATTTAAATTATTAATATAATATCAATTGTAATAACAATAATAATAAATAATATTATTTATATTTATTATTTATATTAATAAAAGTTATATTAATAAGTAACAAAAAATTATTAAAATTAGATTTATTGATTAAAAAATTTTTTTAAAATATAATTTTTTTTTTAAAGGAACAAGCAATCTTTATCTTTATATTTATTATAATTTTAGATATGTGATTACAAATTTATAACTTTTTTAAAGTATAATTTTTATTTTTATAAATTATATAATATATTTTAAATTTAATTTTTTTATTTTTATTTATATATATACAGTATATATTTAATATTTTTTAAATAGATAAATATTATTATTATTTGATTATATCTAGGGCTCCTAACGATACCACTTCGATACCAGTTTGATACTTAAATTTACTATAAAAATATATGAGTAGGTCACAACCCATATATTAAATTTACTATAGATCGGTACCATTTCGATACCAGTTCGATACCAGTTCGGTACTTTTTCGGAACCCTAATTATATCTAATATATTAATATTGTTAAAAAATTTTTTTAATATTGATTAAATATAATATATATAAAAGTAATTGTTTTTTTTTTAAAAAAATATATTTTAAAATATAAAAATAAATAAAATTATAACTTGTAATTTATTTTGAAATTTGATTTAAAAAATATTATATTTGCAAAAAAATATTATATTAAATTATATAATAAAATATAATAATAAAAAATAGATCAAAATATTTTAAAAATATTGGCATATAATAAAATTATTATATAAATATAGAAAAAACAATTATTTAAAAGTATAAAATAATGTTTAATTATAGTTGTTTTTTTTAGTAAAAAATAATTGAAGTGTTGTTTTTATTGTTTATAAAATTTTAAAGATAATATATTGTTTTACGATAAATAATATTATTTTGAATAGACCTTTATTAACAATAAAAAATTTTTGTAACAATGTTATTTAAAACGATTAATATATTGAAGACTCCAGATTCGATGCAAGGTTTTGATAAAAATCAATTGTTGATTTTTTTTCGTGCCTCAAGTAATTGGTTTAATTATCCGTCAGTTTAAGATCTTTAAGTAATTGGGTTCCTACATCTGACATAAATATAAATTTGAAATAATCACATTCAATTTAAAATAAAATTAATAAAGGTAGAAAAAAAGGAAATCGAAAAACAACTTGCGTCATAATTATGTTGACATACGAAAATGGAAAATTTGTGACCGTATATATATTATAGTACTATATATATATATATACGTAATAATGGGTTAAATACATGATTCTCTTCGATCGGATAAAAAAGAAATCAGGATTCTTTGATTTAAGATTATGATAAAATAATCCATCACTCGGTAGATATATAGTTGTAAGCTTTGTTTCATATTATTGCTAGCCACTGCATACAATCCTGCGAAATGTCCACCGACTATCCGGAAACAGTTGCTTACTGGTATAGGCTCTTTTTTATTTTGTGAAAGAATAAAACTTGTGTTATTTCTTTAATTTCATTGTGCGCTTGTAAAATCAACATTGTTACTTCAATTATTATCTCTCTTTCGCAAATCTCTAGGTTTCACGCAGCAGACGCACCCCGAAACGACCCAATCAAAAAATCCACAACCAACATAACAAAATCATCTCAAGAGGCCACTAGTTCAACCGTTCCAAAAACGAAGCAACCAACAAATTGGATTCCATTTTCTAAACGTGACAGTGCTGCATTGGAAGAAGCTTTTAAATCCGGTACTCCAAAACAAGTTCCTTGTAATGAAGATTATCTCTTCGAAGTCGATGTCGAGAAACGGGAGATACGTCCGGTGAGAATTGCAGAGTATTTTTCAATGTTTATGCATATGAATTCGGTGATTGATCAAAAAAGATTTCATTTAGATATATTGGTTAGGGCCTGCATATGAGGTCAGGCGTGCTACATGGTTTCAACAAGGAGACAGTGGAAAATATATACCGTGTGATGAAAACCTAGCGACGCAAATCGAAGAAGGATACAGGTAGCAATTTAAATATTATCAAATGTAATAAATGTAATATATTATTGAAGTTATATTGTTATAGAAATCGTAAAGTCTGGATCCCATCTGAACCAGATATTAACAATCCTAATGGGCCTGACCCTGTTGAAAAGAGTTGTCCACTGTTTGGCAAGTATCTATCTCAATATGTAACCTACACGAACCAAACAACCGCGTGGCTGTTGACGTAAGTACATTATCATATAACTGGTTTGGAGCGTGGACTGTTATGATTCTTATTTATTGTATTACTATCAGCGACGATGTGACCGGGAGATTAACCAAATCGTTATTCTCTACTTTTACTAACAACGGAAATTTGGGTGGAATTCGTCTCATTCGAGGTTATGATGAAGTAAAAAAATATATTTCACAAGATCCGAAGGATAACGAAGGCAAGAAAAAAAAGGAGGGAATTGATAATGAGGTCAGGAATGTATCTTCTAATGACAAACAAAAAGAAAGGGAGATTAAACAAGAAATTGTTGAAAACCAAGATTATGAGAATGAAGAAAGTGAAGGGGAAGAAAGAGTTATTGACCATTTAATTTTGGTTATTCATGGGTAGGCTAATGGATATTTTTATCGCCTTATTTGCGATTAGAATCACACATCATTTACGAATATGTTTTCAATGACAAAAAGGATCGGTCAGAAGTTGAGCGAGAGGATGGAATCCTTAAATTTCGTTCATGGTGAGCACTTTTTTCTTTGGTTCATTCGCACGAATATAGCTTTTATGGCGTATTGACTGCATCTATCCTCATAAGATGTTAATGTTTTAAGGAAGACTATCAAAACGATTTTTGAATCTAATCCTCCTGAAGTGAGTTCCCATGGCTCTTACATGAAATCTGGTTCGGGTACAAGCTACAGTAAACGTAATTCCACGTCATTAGAAAAGGGGTCACATTTGAGAAATGGTGTTCAAGTGTTGCCCATACAATGGCGTCAGGAAATCAAGGTTTGATGCTAGAATGGATTGGCCTTCGTAGTTTCATTTTATCGGGGTTTTCATTGCTATATTTTTTTTTTTCACAAGTTTGGTATAGCATCTGAGGATGAAAATACCCAAAGAGATTTGGGAATGCCCGAAATAATAGAGGAAGGTCAAACTACTCTTGATGAAATTACTCTTGAGGGCGTTCCGACTTTAAGGATGCTGATTTCAGATGTGTTGATGGATGGTTAGTTCAATTTTAAGGATTCTTAGTTTGTTTTATATATTATTGTCTATAATAACTTTTTTGTACGAAAATGGTTTATTAGTGCTATTATACATGACTCCGCGATACCGCGAGGTCATGATTAGCACAGTTACAGCCGAGGCCAACCGAGTTTACAATTCGTTTATTCAAAGAAACCCAAAGTTCCTTGAAAACGGTGGGAAGGTTTCAATATATGGTCATTCTCTAGGCTCAGTGTTGGCATTTGATGTTCTATGCCATCAACCACCTATCGTTCCTTCCACGGCCTTTGGTATATTCAGTGAAACAGCAAAAACGTCAAACGTAAATCAAATAAACCGTGATTCGGTAAAATTATGTTTCAAAGTGCATAATTTTTTTGCAGCCGGTTCGCCCATGTAGGTTTTAATTCAACTTTAAATTAATATTTGAATAAAACAAGGTTCCCGTTTCTAATATCAGTCACTCTCATAATGTACGTGCAGTGGCTTGTTCTTGTTACTAAAAGGTCTTAAGATTGCATCGAGGAAGAATCGTGACGCCGTACAATTAGCAATGGACGAATCTCCAAATCACATTCCATTGTGTTATCCTGCTGTGAGGAACGTTTATAATATTTTTCATAATGCAGGTAAAGGGGGGTTTTTTTTTTGACCATTTGCGAAAAATTTTGAGGTACTTATCGGCTTTCGTTTCTTCATGTTGTGAAGATCCTATCGCATATCGGATGGGTAAGTAAAGTCAGGGGTCGTTACATCTTCTGGTAAAGCCCCGAAATTTATATTATTCTTTTAACGATAGAGCCCCTTATCGCGAGACATTACGGTGCTAGTCTAAAACCAGCCCTTATACCATATCACAAAGGTGGACTCAAGGCTGTTCATCTTGGAATTCAAGAATTTGGAAATGATCTCGCGCACAAAGCCACAAACATTTTTTCAACTGTGAGGACGTCATTGATGTTTACAAGAGGAATTCAGGCCCTAGCAGCTAATTCCTCTCATAAACGCACATCAATTTCCACTATAACCACAGAAAGTGAGGCCACCAATTTAGCATTAACGAACTATCCGCCAACACAATACGCACAACCATCATCAAATTCGGATAAGGAAAGGGAAGATCCATTGGGTGCGGCTAAACTTAAGAGTTTAAATCGATCAGGAAGAATTGACTATGTTTTGCAGGTACAGGACAGATATTATTAATTTTTATTATATGTTGATTTATCATCTCACCTCAACACTTTAACAGGAGGGCATCCTTGATGTAAGCTATATTAATGCCATCACAGTACATCTGGGCTATTGGTCAGACCTGGATGCTGTTAATTTCATCGTAAGGGAGATTTATGAAGAAGACTCTGATGATGAGGAAGACGTAGATGAACAACACCAATAGGTTGGATTCAAAGTCTTCGTGAGATTTCAGGTTATATTTATGTTATCTGCATGAGATCTTTTATGAATATTTCCGAGTATTCACTATAATAGCCTTTTAACTTAATCATTAAAATAGATGAATAAATAATAAATTATATTAATCTTCTATACCCCGAGGTGTTTTAATATCCGTAAATTACAATTTTTATAATAAAAGAATATCATTGTCTTGGATCGATTCGTTATTGTATTTATTTTTGAGTTTTTCTCGGAAAATTCCCTAATATTTTATTCACATTTATTTTGCACATAAAAATTCGTAGAATGCATATATTTACAGATAATAAAAAAGAAATCTATATCTCTTAGAAATCTAAATAAATCTAAATAAGAAAAATTCTATTATACGGAAACGTAACGAATTTACCCTTCCCGGATCAATTACCAAAGGTTGTAGATATTTTTTGTCTCCTGCTTAATGATTGTCAAATAATTCTTTGCATTCTCCAAAACGTTGGGATTGACAGTTTCAGTATATCTAAGACTATGGGCCAAATATAGCTTCAGCTCCTTCAAATTTTTGTTTTCCTTGGTGTACTGAATTAGTGTGGAAAACAATTCATATTCTTTATTTTGTATTTGATGCAATTCTAATATTTTCAACTGAGCCTGACATTCTGTCAACAAAATCTTCAGTGCTTGTGAGGAAATATTAAAATTTAAGAACAGGGCACACAATGATGCTGGTATAGACTGGGAAAATTGTAATAGTGTTTCAGAGGTAAATAGGAATTGTTCCTGATTTCCTAAAATTAATGTTTCT